CCATTTTCAGCCGCTGCTTTCCCGGCTTTCGTAGCTCCCTTTGCTTTTGCCCTTTGTAAATAGTGACCAAATCTTTTTGTTGGGTTGTTTTGGGGGGGGTGGTTTTTTTGGTTTTTTTTCTTGGGGTGTTCCTTTGGATCTGGTTTGCGGGGTGAATTTGCAATCTCCCCCTCCCCTCTCTACCCTGTGTGTTGTGTGTTTTCCTTTCTGTTTTCTTGGTTTCAGTTTTTATGGGTTTGTTTGTTGGTTTATTTTTGTTTTTTGTTTTTTTTTTGGCTAGGGTATAGCCAATACACTGAAAATGGCAGGCATTTAAATATATATATAAATATATATAAAAAAAAAGTGTTCCTAATTTCCTGAGTTACTAGTGAAATGAATTTGACAATTGTAATAAAAAAAAAAATGTTTCAACCCTTTTAAATAAGGTGTGTACTATTTTGGTCTGTAATATATAACACCTAGTCGATTTTAAGTGATGAGAAACTACTTCCACTTGTGCTGTATACTTTGAAAATTTTTACAAACCTAAATACAGGAGGCAGTTCCAAGCATGTAGGTTAGGAGGTTTCTTTTCATACACTCAAGCACGATATACTAATACAAAATTGTATTTTCTTACCTAGTGGAAGTCAGTAAAATGACTGAAAATACCTAGTGAATGTACAGTTTTACTTTCATATCCCTCTTTAAAATAGCTTTAGAAGTGACTTGTATTTCCTAGTCAATATTTCATCTGTATAAATACATTTGCAAGGTTTTTTTGGTTTTTTTGTTTTGGTTTTTTTTTTCCCAGAAGAGCCAAACTTTGAGTTTTATGTCTGTTTGTCATTGATGAATTTCAATAAATCTTTTTATACAATTTTTTCTGTGGCTTATTTGAGTAAAACGGGCCACTGGGAAGGAATCGCACACCTTTTGCTAAAGGCATTTTGGTAAATTCCCCCGTATTTTGAGCAGCTCAGCTGTGAAAACTACTCGTGAGCCAGGATTGGGTGAAACCGAGGGAGAGGCTGTTTCTTTAATGCGAATAACTGAGGTTTTTCTTGCAGAACGATGATTCCTTCTCTGTTTCCAGCTGATCGTTGCTGTTAAGCGCGTGCGTTTCTGCTGTTTAATCCTGTCCCTGTTTACCCAGGTCAGGAAGAAAACTCTTGGCTTCCTTCTGCTCCGCCGTGCGAGTTCGGGGTTAGACTGGCTCAAGAGCTTTGGCCGTCCGAGACGAGGGCTGCCTGCTGTGCTTTGCTGCCCATCCAGAGCTAAGTCTCCATATTTTCCTGTGTTAAAAGGTGAACGACGTGGCGAGTTGCGTTGCCTCTCTGCTTAAAATCAAGTTCCTGCGCCGCGCGAGAGCTGTGGAGGATCGCGCGTTTCTTCTTGGCTGTATCTCTTTGGGGTAAAAAGGGGTCGTTTCTACCAAAACCAGGCCCTGAAGTGGTTGTGTAGGGTGGAATTTTTTTGTTTGGTTGCTCTTTATTGGTTTTTTTTGTTGTTTTTTTTTTAAAGAGGTAATCCAGACCAGCACACTCCTCCTTCCCGAGCCAGGATCTGCTGCTGTGAAACTAAAACCAGGAGCTGGGGAGGCAGGGACGGGGTTGGCAGCTGTTAAGCTACAAGCCACGTGAAGCCCTTGTCTCACTGCAAACCCCTACAGTGCAAGGTCATGATTTGGTGCTGTAATGAGGGGAAACTTGTTTGTTTTGGTTTTTTTAAAGAAATAGCTGTTAACTCAAACTCTTAGGAGGCAGCGGCTGGACCTGACCCTTCCTGCATGATGAGTCTGTAGGTCCCAGGTGTGAACGTCTCCTCTGCAGGAATAAGATGCAGCAGTACCCGGCTCTGGTGATCACGCTTGAGCCTCTGTCACCTGTGGGCTCTAGCGAGCCACCGCTGGCTTGCAGAGCAGTTTTCCCCTCTTGCCCTCGAAGCAACCAGAAACCCTCCAGCTCCTCACTCTGCGTAAGCACTGAATGGCCCAGGTGGCACTGAAGTAGCTCTTTGTACCCTTAATAGCTTCAAAGCTCACTTCAGAGTTAGTTTTCCCAAAGAAAACCCCAGCAGTAGGACATTTGCCACCCGTGCTGGGGAAAGGTTCTTCATGGAAAAGCAGAGCCTTCTCTTAGCTCCTATTTCAGAGAAGTCCTGGGGTGCTTAGAATCAGAGAATCTGTTTCGGCTGGAAGAGACCTTGGAGATCATCGAGTCCAGCCTTTTGAGGGCTTGATTCCACCTTCCCCTCCTGAGTCTCTTCTGAAGCTCAAACCGCTTCCAATGTCCTGCTGGGGCTTTTCTACCCTTGTTTGTGCCCTCTCTTCACAAACCAGCCCTCTCTCCTGTGTTGCTCGTGGTTGTGCAGTGCCTGGCAACGAGTGAACCGGCAACGAGACGCTCTTGGTCGGAGCTCTTACGTGCCGAGCTGAACGTGTGGGCGCTGCAAATCCATAAAGCCTTAATAACCTAATGGCTGGGGGTTGGCGTGCCTGGCACCCTCAAGGATGTCTTCTTGGTTGATTTGATAGAGGTTTCTTGTGCCTGTACTGTTTGTGGTGTTTAAAGCGAAGGCGTGGGACTCCGGTGAAGGTCAGGAAGACTTTCCAAGCCCCAAATAATTGTCGATGTCATCCCGTTATACCGGAGGAGCCGATGAGGAAGCCGAGGCTCTGTCTGGATTTTGTGGCTGGTTTAAATGGTTTTTCCTTAAAACTTAGGAATTCGTGGTAGTTGGGGAAAGCTGTTCCCTCATCCCGTTACCCAAGGTGGGCCCAGCGACTTGCTCAGCTATGTTTATATTCCAGATGATTTTGAATTGAGAGTTGGATGTAAGAGAGGTACATCCTTGCCCAGAGTGATTGTCTGGGGTCTTACCCTGCCCCACGCTGCTTTGGTTGGTATTAAATCCCTGCCCTAGTTCTCTGCAGAGCAAGCCCTGCTTCGACCGAGACTCTCTTACAGCTGTCTTTAAAGATGTCTTATGTTTCAGTAAGAGTGAATCACCTCGTGCTGAAATTCAGAAATCTCTGATGACTACAGACTTCAGCCCCGGGAGCGAGATGGCTGAGGATTTTCTACCCCCAACGGTAAAGGAAGAAATGTACTGCAGGCCGCTTAAAAAATGAGACGTGGCAGAGGATCCAGCCGCACACAGCTCATCCCAGTGTGACAATAACCATGGCTCAGCTTCGTGGAGGTCACGTCAGGCACGGTCATCGATGTCAGGGTGCTCACAGACCATCACCAGCCGCGAATGAGCGGGCTGGGCGGGGGTTTGGGCTGGGCAGCAGCCGGGGGAACCCCCACGCCCAGGGCTCAGCTCCAGCAGAGCCAGCAAAGAGGATGAAGGTGCTGCAGGTGAGTGAGGGAAGGACGGCAACACGCGAGGGGATGGCTCCTCTCACAGCAGCCCTTGCTCACCCAGCAGCAGCGGCGCCCGGCTCACGGCCGCAGGAAACGCCGGCAAAGGGTTTACGTGCTCGGCTGCTGTTTTGCGGAGTTAATGCTGTCGGGGAGGAGTAAGCACCGGGTGGGACCTGGGCTGGAGTCGGAATACGAAGTGTGTGGTTTGGGGGCTGCAGTTACCACTCCCCTTCTGACTGCAAAACCTGTTTTTCTGTCCGAGCGTCTCCCATTGATTCTTTCTGGTGCTGCCCCAGCGGTGTTCGACTGCTGGTCTGTTCTGCTCCATGGTTCTCACTCGGTCCAGATAACCTCACCAGGTGACTTCCCTGCTCTCAGCTGGTTGCTGCCACTGCTGGTTTTGCTCCTTCTGCCTGGACCAAATAAAAACCCAGTGAAGAATTTTTTTGTTGAGACTCGAACGCTTTCCGCTTGGAGTTTCTGTTTGTCTGTTACACTTGCCGGTCCTCACTCCGAACATGGCAGCTTTGCTGTAACTGCTCATTTTACTTGATTTTTCCAGCGGTTTTCGGGATCTGGCTGCTGCTGGGCAGGGAGGCAGGTGATGAGGTGTCGCCCTGTTGAGCCCTTACAGATCCTGTGGAACAGCTGGAGGGGCCACAGCTGGCTGAGAGAGGTAGGTCAAAGCTGACAGGGCCTGAGGATGGAGCTGCTGAATCAAGCAGGGCCAAATTCTGTGAGGGCAAAACACCCCTTGGTTTTAAGGATCTTAGAAAAAAGGAGGGATCAGTGTCACCCTCGACAAATCAACAGGAAAAAAAACCCCATAGTGACTTTTTCTCTGCGTTTACTTGATTTTAGATTTCAAAAACCAGATCTTCTTTGTCTATAAATTTGGGGGCTCTTTAGTCACCGGAAATATTTTCAAGTAGGGACACCTCGCAAAAAAACGTCAGAAAAGGAGAGAATTAACAATAATCCCGCAGCGAGGAAGCGTACAAGGAGGCCAAGCCTCAAACAAAGCGAAACCTCCAGGAAGCAGAAAGTAGGTCAGGTTGATAAGGATGAGCACAGAGGGACGGCATGAATATGGAGCGGGGAAAAACAAAGTGGGAAGGAAAACCACCTCCCTGGCTCTGTTTGAAAAAAAAGAAAGAAAAGGGGAGAATTAACAATAATCCCGCAGCGAGGAAGCGTACAAGGAGGCCAAGCCTCAAACAAAGCGAAACCTCCAGGAAGCAGAAAGTAGGTCAGGTTGATAAGGATGAGCACAGAGGGACGGCATGAATATGGAGCGGGGAAAAACAAAGTGGGAAGGAAAACCACCTCCCTGGCTCTGTTTGAAAAAAAAGAAGGGGGAGCTGTCTGCTATGGACAGCTGAGATCTTTAAGCCTTAAACCCTGTTATCCCTGAAGAGGCCAGCTGTGACGGAGAGGAAATTGCAATTAGCAGCAGTACAGGAAGGGTGAGACCCCAGCCTGGGTTTGGGCAGGGATGACGCTGCAGATAAAGCAGGTGTTTGTGATGGATCAAGTTCCTGGAGGGGTCCCGGAGAGCGAGGGTTCTGCTCTGCAGAGATGGCAGGAACGAGGAGCGTTTGGGAGGCGTTAAAAGAAACCAGAATATTGTCTGCGAGAAAGGGTGGGAGATAAAAAAAAAAAAAAAAAAAATGCTGGGAGGTTGTGGTCTCATTTAGGCTCTGGAAAATATTGCAAACTACTCAGAAGCATCTTAAAAAGCCCACACCAGCACCACAGGCTCAGCAACAGCAAAGGGCAGGGACGTGGGGAGCTGCAGGAGCGGGTCTCCTGGTTCCCAAATGACCCCAAACCCCTGGGTTGAGTGGGGACACAGAGGATCCTTGCAGGACGGCACCCAGCCGTGCCGGGATTTCAGTGCTAAAGTCACTGGAGCCAGTGTCCCTGTCCTGGTTTGAGTCCCCAAACAGCCTTTTTTTTTTTTTTTTTGTGTTAAATAGGGCCCAGATGGCGCAGGAGGAAACGTCAGGAAAAGCTCGAGCTGTTACCACGAGCAAGGAGTTTGGTAGGAAAGGTGTGGGGAGGGGGGAAAAAAAAAAAGGAGCGGCATGAAGGGTTTTGCCCTGGAAACGGAGCAGCCACAGCTCGGGCTGGAGATTTTTGGCGAATCCCAAGTGTTTCGACAGCCCTTTCTGCTTCACACTGACCCCCACCCCAAGGCATCCCGCTCACCTGCAACACAGGCAGCAGCCACCGTGCTGATGTTTGCAGATACACTAATTGGGCTCCTTAATCATCACTGCCCACGGCTCTAATTGGGCTCCTTTCGCATCAATTCAAGGGGCTTCAGGGCTCCTGCCTTACAACAGAGAATTCGGCGCGGTAAATCCTAACACCCCTGCTTTGACCAAAGCTGTAAGACTTCAGTAACCTCAAAGAGGTCCACGGCACCCCTGCACCCACAGGGAAGCAGCTTCTCCTTCCAATTACAAGACACACTAAACCTAGGACACTCCAGTCCTGACCCCAAGTGATAACACTAGTGGAAAAATGATGAAAATACAGCTTAAAGGTCACTTTCCGTCTCTGCATCCCTCGTGCACACCGCGGGGAGCCAGGGCAGCCTGGCTTTGACCTGGAAGTTTGGGGCATGCCCAACATTGCTTTTTAAGAAAGACGGGAACAGGCTTTTTAGTAGGGTCTGTTGCAGTAGGACTAGGTGTAAGGAAGAAGTTTTTTACGAGGGCGGTGAGATGCTGGCACAGGTTGCCCAGTGAGGTGGTAGAAGGCTCATCCCTGGGAAGATTCAACGTGGGGTTGGATGGGGCTCTGAGCGACCTGACCTGGTGGAGGACATCCCTGCTTGGTGCAAGATGTAAAGAAACATCCCTTTCCCCCCAAACCACTCTGCAATTCATCCTTCCTCCATCCAGCCAAGCACCTCCAACCAGCATCTCCCCCCATTCACCCGAGCCGGTCCCCGTTGCCCAACCCAGCCCAGCTCCCACCACCTCCTTACCTGCACAATTGGCTTTTTCTCCTTGTCCGACTCACCTGAACCCCGTGCATCCATCCCGCAGCATCGAGTCCAGCCTCCGGCCAACATCACTCGATACCGCAGGGAGCTCCCAGCCCGGGGAAGAGCAGCAGCACAAGCAGAGGAGAACTTTGTGAGCACCCAAAAACACCCCTTCACGCTCATGCCACCCCTCGGCGAAGAAAAGAAAGCAGCAGGCAAGGTTTTGGTATCTTGAAAACGTTTTATTCCATCGCTATTCCGTGGTAGCATAAATAATAGGCAATGACAGCACATGTAAGAGGGGGACGCAGTGGGTACGGGGCACAACGTCGATTAACAGGGAGGAGAAACCATCACACGGGTAGTGCTGGGCAGTTCAGCAACTTGGTTTCGTGAAAATATATACATATGTAGGTAAGGTAGCAGTAGTTGGTGGTGTTCCCGTTCTACAGGCCAAATCCACAAACCCCCGTACTTGTACCCGCGTGCTGAACCCCCCGAGCACCTGCTGGGTCCGTCCCTCGGGGTGAGCTCGGTGACGTCCTTCCCCCCCTCCCTCAGTGCCAGCAGAAAAGAAGAGGTTAAGTCCCTTTTAGCAGAGGGCACCAAAAAAAAAAAGTAAAAAAAAAATCCCTCTTGCGTTCAGAAATGCAACCTCTTTATTTATTTAATTAATTACTTGAAGAAGGATTGAGGTGTGCGTGCAACGTGCCCGCATGGAGCAGCTCCCTTCCCCAGGACGGGGACGCTCACAGGCTGCCCCCACCGACGCCACTGCCCCTGGCACGAACGAAGCAAATCAAAGCCCTTCCCACACCCCCAGTTTCCAGTTCCGGGCCCGCCATCGCGCTTTTTCTTTTTTTTTTTGCATAGGGAGGAAAAAAAATAATAAAAAATAATTAACAGCAACGAAGCATCGCGCTTTCCCAGGGAGTCGCCAGCGCCTCGGCTCCCTCCGCGCCGGTGAATCCCGACAGAGGGGACACGGCTCGTCTACTTACTCCAAGACCATCGCCGGGGAGCTAGACAGGACTAAGAGGACGTATTTCCAGTTAGCGAGCGGGCTCTTGGCAGGTCACTTGACTTCTGGCTCATATTCTGTTGTAAGTGGATACAATAAAATTAAAGAGCGAGTATAAACGAAGAGAGTTTGTTTATAAAACGTCCCTGGAAGTTAGTTGCTCTTCGGGCTGTTGCGTAAGTTTTTGAGCTCCAGCTGTAGCTGTCGGATCCGTATGTCTTTCTGCGAGAGATCGTCCTTCAGCCGCCGGATCTCGTCCTGCTGTCGGAAGAACATCCGAAGGAGCTGAAAGGGAAGGAGGGAGATGGAGGCATCGCACTGGCCGCTCACCCCCGGGGCTTCACCCTCCCGGCAAGAGCCGTTTCATGACCTGGCTGCTTTTGCAAGGCAACTTCATCTGCTCGTGCTGCTTGGATTTAATATTTCACCCTCTCGCTCAGCGCTGCCCTAAGCGCCCAACCTGCAAACTCAGCTCCAGCAAAACAAATTCCTTCCGGCACCAAGCGCTGATGTTTCCCCAGCACCTCTGTACGTTGTTCCCAGAGGAGGATTTTAATTAAAAAAAAAAAGACTTGAGCGTTAATGCTGCTTTTGGGTGCTCTGTGGTTAACACGGAGCAGCAGGATGCTTTGAACCACAGGGAACCGCGGTGCCCGGGTGCTTCAGTCTGGGAGGCACAGAGACCTGCAGAGCGGTGGCTTTCGCAGCTGCACCCACAAAAATTCCCCCCCTCCAGCACCCATCCCCTCTTGTCCCCGTGCCCAGGCCCTACCTCGTTCTCTGTCCGCGGTGGCACGTTCTCCAGCAGGTCTATGCCATTAACGACGACACTCTTCTTCTCCCTCACTGGGGCCTTGAAGACGATTTTGGATGTCTTCTTGTAGCCCTCCTTCAGCGACATCAGGATGGGATCTGAGCGGGGCAGAGCACGGGGAGGGGGTCATACGCGGTCTTGTCCCACCGCCCAGATGTTTCTGGGGCTCCGTGTCGCCCACCCGGCGCAAGCACCGGCAGCTTTACCTCTGTTCACCCCACTCAGCCATTCGTCGGGTGTGAGGGCTGGCTCCGTACCCGGAGTCATGGGGTAAATGTCCTCTTGGTACGTTTCTGACTGAAAAAAACCCAACAAAACAAAACAAAAATCAAGAAAAGCAAAGCGAATCTGCTTGTGATTTTAACGACACGTCGCAACGCGCTGCGAGCGGCTACGCTCAGCCCTGGGGCACCAGCCACAGGGGGAAGAGAGAAACCCAAGTTTACACCATGAAGTTAGATGAGAAAAGCCAGCGCTGCCTGCTCAGGGCACACGAGGTTGGATCAGAGTGGCAGAACGGAGGAGGACAAGCAGCTGCGGAGCTGCAGCAGACCCGGCCGACCGGTGGCGGGGACGGCAAATGCCAACCCCTGCCCCAGCTCCAAGATCTATTTTCCCCAGGAGCAGCCCCCAAAGCTCAGGCGATACGAGCCCCTCGGCTGCCCGGTGCAACAGACCAAGCTGGTTTTGCACAAAACCATCACGGCAAGGCCAGGGGCAACACAGAGAGGCATTTCCTAAAAGCATTCCCATTAAGCCTTTGGGGAAAAAAGCTCTGGGAATCACGTGCCTGGGAAGTGTCGTGACCAGGAGGGCTGAAACTGGTGTAAAGAGATCCAGCCGTCAGACTGGTCAGTGAAGTGGTGCAAGCTGGAGCATCTCCATCCCACCCGCCCTGCGTTGGACACCCCCTGGGCACCGCTCGTCCCCCCCTCCAGGGACTCACCCTCCTCGGCACGATCATCGAGATGGGTTCAATCAACCCCTTGAGAGTGATGAGCTTGTAGAAACGAAAGACCTCGCAGGCTGACACGTCCAGCCCGTGCTTCGGCATCACCCCTGCGAGGGAGGTACAGACAACGATGATCTTAAATGATCTTAAACAACTTGATCACCTTAAGCGCCTTTTCCAACCCAAACAATTCGACCATTCTATGAATAACCCCCGGATGCTGGGACCCCTCCACCTCCCTGGCATGGAGGACGCCAAAAGTCCCTTGTTCTCCCTCAGGAGACCCAGACCCTCGATGAATTAATCTCTGCCACCACCTTGGGGACTTGAGGTACAACCGGGGCCACACCAGGGGAGGTTTGCAGGGACACTGGGAAAGGGACAAGCAGCTTTTATTAAGGACAAATCTCAGGAATCACTGGCTGACATCCCCCAGTAAAGCCTGTGGCGTGGATAACAGCAGGAGAAGCATCACCAGGCATGAGCCTGGCCAGGACCAAGCCCCAGCCTGGCTGAATCACACCAAAAAGGACAGCAGGGCAACGAGAGCATCACCCTGCGAGCCCCGTTGTGATGCTCTGGGGCCAGCAAGGCCCCCACCAAACCCATTAAACCACCTTCCACCATCTACCTGTGGCATGCTCGGAGCGGCACGGCCGTGCTTACCCAGTCCTTTTTGCGGGGCCGGGGAGCGAAACTCCATGAGATAACTCAAGTAGGGCTTTTCCGAGCCGATCTCGTAGTATCGAATGTTGCCGTCGCCCTGGAGCGAGGGCAGGGAAGAGGGAGGGATGGTTTAGGGCTTTGGTGAACGTGACGTTGAATAAAGACCATTATAACAGCCCCCAGCCCCCCCATTCACCCCTTCATCCCCCCTGGGAGCCAGCGCAACCTGTACCTTGCCAGCCAAGTACAGCATGTGAGTGTCAGCATCATAGAAAGGGAAGAGGAGACCCGATACCCCGCCGATCTCCTCCTCGATCAGGGGCATGGACAGGTCTTCCTGCGCCAAGGGAAAAAAAAAGAAAGAAAAAAAAGAAAAGCACTCGATTTTGAGCAAAAGGTCACGATGCTTGTGCTGAGCAGGGGTCCCCGTGGGGATGGAGAGGGGCCCCAGCACCCACCTAACAATCTGCCGCGTGTTCCAGCGCGACACCCCCGTCGTCAGCAGCCGCTTCGTGCTGCCCAGGAAGACCACGCGGTTGACACGGTGGTTCTTGCAGCTGGCCTCCTGCGAGACAAGAGCGCGCTCGCCAGCAGCCCCCAGCCCTCGTCCCGGGAAAAGCCCCTTCCTTGGCAGGGACCTGCCACCCCGATGCCCAACACCTCTCCCACGAGTCAGCAAACCAAAAATGCTCATCTGCCTGAACATCAGGTGAGAAACCACCACCTTCCTCTAAACTGTGGCTCTTTCTGGAACTTTCCGCTTCTTTCCCCACTAATTCCTATTGTTTTCCACAAATTCTTGATTAATAAAAGAAGCCTCCAACTCCTGTGCCTGGAATGAGGCCGACCCTTCCCCATCACCTCCACCTGATTTGGCCAACCAGCAGAATATCCCAACACAGACAAAACATCGCATCGTGAGGACGTACAGCAACTTGTAAATGTTTTTCCCGCGTTTCAGCGGGTTTCCTCCCCAAGCCCTTCTTCCCACGCCACGGCCCGAGCGCCACACCTGCAGGACCCTGCCCGAGCGCGGCTCCACCACTCGCAGCTTCTTGTCCTTGCAGGTGGTGGCCAGGAGGCTGCCGTCGGTGTTGAAGGACATGCAGAGGATGACGTCCGTGTGGCAATCGATCATCTTCACCGGGTCCCCGATGTCCAGGTTCCAGATGAGAACCTGCAGGAATAGGCGGGGAGGCTGTGCCTGGCATCTCCGCTCCTGGAGACCCACCACCCACACAAACCCTTCCTGCAACCTTCACACCTGCTTTGGGCATCTAAATAGCTCCCATTTTCACTGAAATTGCCACCTCATCCCTTACAGAACCCTGTTCTCTCACCCTGGGGCTGCCCTGCAGCTGCCGCGTGTGAAAAATTAAAGTAGTCCTTATGACAGGGGGTGCAAGACCCTTGCCCAAGGGAAGGTACCCTCGCACGAGCGGGGAAGGGCTCACCTTATAGTCGTAGCCGGCGCTGAAGAGGATGTTGTTGGTGGTCGGGTGCCACTCCACGAGGCCGACAAAAAACCCGTACAGCTCCAGGACAGCCTCGGTCATGTTCCTCTTCAGGCCGCCCTCAGGGATCTCCCAGATCCTCACCTGCAGGACGAGGCAGCGACAGGAGAGGGTTGGGAGCCCCGGGGTGACCCCAACACCTCCCCACCGGGTGTCTGAGATGCTGAATCCCCACCGTGCCCGACGCCAGCGGCCTCATCCTGCACCCTAACGCGTGTCCTGAGGTCGATCCCGTCCCCTGCAAGGGCAAGGGGCGAACACAGCGAGTCCATCCTGTCTGACCAGCAAGCACTAAGGGGACAGGGGAGCCCCAAAACCAGGCAGTGGTATCACCCCAGGACCACCTGTGATGAGGAGAAGGACCCAATGCCATGAGCTTCGCTGGGAGCTGCCGCCCGCCCGGCACCGAGATCCTGGGTTAAAAACCAACCAGAAAAGCCTCTGCAGAGAAGGTGCTTGCAGAGTAAAAAGAGGTGAATAAAATTCACAAAGCTTCTGTAGCGACTCCTCTTCAATTAAACATCTCCAGGCGATGCCACCAAAGAGCTGTCGGAGGTGCTTTCATCTCTGTGGCAGGTCACCGGCGTGAAACAAACCCTCCTGGGCTTGCCCCGTGCCCGAGCACCCTGCACCCCTGCCAGCAGCCAGACCCCAGCTCTGCCAGCCCCGCGCCTTCCCGGGGACACTTGGAACCCGGCAGCGTCCGAACGCCGCGGTCCAGGTGAGGAGATGAAAGCTTTTTGCCCTTGCACCCCATCCCTATGGCAGGCTCATCCAGCGCCGCTCGTCCTTCCCAGAGCCTTCACCTCGCCTGACACCAGCGCCACGAGCACCGCCGAGTTTATATAAAGCTTTTCCAAAACTAGGGAATATCTGGGAGGGCTGTTTCTCAGGGAGGAGGACTGATGCTGCTGCCCCTTTGGCCCACTCCCCACTCTCTTCTCCAGCATCCCCAACACAGCTGGGAGCTGAGCTGCAGCCCGGGTGGGCAGAAGTAGTTAATTTGGAATATTGCAGCGAAAAAATCTGCATAAGGACATACAGGAGGGTTTTCTGCATGTTTGGAAGCGAAAGGCACGGCTCTGCAGGTTGCAGAGAAGACGGCATTTACAAAAGAAACACGATTCAGAGGCCGGTTTGGCTCATGGACAGGGGACAGACACACGATTCCAAGAGCATCAGCAGTTTCGAAACAAGGCACAACACGAGGAACGAGCCACACAACGCCAAGCATCGAAGGAACCGGTTACGAAAGCGGCCGGTTATGAAACGGCTGTTACCAAACCTCCGATCCGGGAGGGCTCCGAGAGAGCTCGTGAATCCCGGAGAGGGGAAACACCCGGGGACACCTTCACGCCCGGGCTCCCCACATCATCAGGGGCTGCTCAGTTAGCAGCTGCCCCTTGCCTTTCCCTCTGCGGGGAAGCCTAAAAGGATGGTTATTAAACGGGGCTCTGCGATGCGCTCCTAATGCGGTTGCATCATTCCTCGTGTCTTGCGAAAAAGAGGAAAAAAAGAAAGTGGGGGAGTGCCAGGGACAGGTTATTTTAGGCAGGTTTCCCCCATTACCATGGTCACTGCAACCTGAAAATAGACATGTTGGAGCGAGTTGCGGTACAAACACCGTTCCAGTGACAGCGCAGGCATAGCTGGCGCTGACCCAAAAATCTAAACGCCACACCTGAGCGCACGGAGAGCTCCGGCACAAGGGGAACGCAGAGCCCGAGATGCCTACGGAGGTTGGGTAATTCCCTTTTTAATCTTCCCGCTTGGTTCGTCCTGCCCTGTAAAAGCTCCTTCCCCAGAAACCCTTTTGCGGCAGTTCAGCAGCTCGCGGCACAGATCAGCGACTCCAGCATCAGCCCCGCTGCCAACTGTCCCGCGAGGACAAATATTAATTAATATCGGTGCTGCCGAACCGTAAAATCCTCTCCGCCCCCTCGGAGAGGATCAACCCACAGCGATGCCCCGGGGACAGGACACGATGGAGGAAGGACAGGAGTCCAGAGCAGTGGTGTGTCCTCCGTGCCTCCCACGGCCATCATGTCCCCAGCCCAGGACCCACGGTGGCCCCAGATGACAAATATCACGCAAACACTCTGCAGCTCGGACTCCACCAGGAGCTGGGCACCCTCTCTCTTTGATAAAGACTGTTGGCTCGGAGCTTGTTAAACCTCCTAGGAGTGAGCTCAGAGAGCCTGAAGGCGCAGGACCTGCCCATAAGCATCACCCTGGGGGTAATGCTCCACACAGGACAGCCTCAGGGGCAATTAACTTAATTCTCCAAGTTTAACGACTCTTTACCGCATCCTTCCTCCCTCTGTCCCCAGCACCTCCTATTCCCCAGCAACTCTGTCTAAAAGATCCTAATTTGAAGTGGGAGACAGCTCACCGTGAATCACGGCCACGATCTGAATCTTCCCTCCCTCTCCCACTCAGTACCTTCCTTGACAAGCTTTCAGCTAATAAAAAAAATGCCAAGATACTGAGCTGAAGGAAAGGATAATACATGAAATGCTAAGAATCAGGCGAGGCAGATTCGTAACAGGCTAAAAACTGGATCTCCCCAAACCCTGGCTTCTGCCTTGCAGAATGGGCAATGGTTTCTGAGTTTTTCCTCTATGAGACAGCCTTTGGGATAGACTTTTGTCCAGAAAAGTAAAGAAAAAAAAGAGGATGCAAATAACAGCTACAAAAAATGACTTGACTTCTTATCCCACAGCCTGAAAAACTGATTTTTGCTCCTATCACTGGATGGATCAGGCCACCGGAGTGGTTGCAGCCCCTGCGAGCAAGAAGGATTAATAATAGCATTGCTGTTGGGCTTGAAAGGGAAAAAAAAAAAGGAAAAAGAAAAAAAAAAAAGCCCTTGTTGTGCACAGCTGTACAGTTTATCCACAGCAGGGCGATGTGGAAAGAGCAGCGCTGTGACAATAATAAGTGACACTGGGGACAGCAGAGGAGCTGGGCACCAGCCACTGCCCCTGTCACACCCATCTCTTGCCCCTACCCCTGCGAGCCATCACCCAGCAGCCCCTTTCCCCTCCCCACGTATAAATTAAAGGCAGGAGGGTGAAGGCACCCAGGGGGGGTCTCACCGAGGTGTCTTCGGAGCACGACGCGATGATGTTCTCAATGAACGGGTTCCACTTGATGTCCAGCACGTTGCCCTGGTGACCACAGACTTTGGGGTAGTTTGGTTCGATTCGGCCTGTCTGTAATTGAAAATGAAGCAAAAAAAAAAAAAAAATTAGCGATAAAGTTGGGTCTTCCTAAAAGCTGGAACCTTGTTAGGGCAGAGAGCTCTGTAGCTCATGCTAGGATGGGGTTTTTGGAGATTGGGATTGGTCTGAGCCCATCAATACTCCCAGGGGTTGGTCCAGGTATGAAAAGAGGTTTTGCAGACACAACCTCCTGGGGCTGTCCACCCCCACGACCACTGGAAACCACGGGCAGAGGGCTCGAGAGGCTCTAAACCTCAACATCAAGCGACGTTAGGCCAAGGCACCCGCACAGAACGAATCCCCGGGGGCTTCAGGATGGCGAAACGCTCGTGCTTGGCGACGCCAATAACCCAGCGACGCCACTCGATGGGATCCTTCCACTAAAATGGAAAACCTTGCTGGGCTTTTAGGCACGGTCTGGCCTTGCCATCCCAGCAGAGGACAGTGAGGGGCACTTGGCACAACCTGCTCTTCAGTTTCCCACCACAGACAGGTTGCAGGAACCCTCCAGCTCCTCGCAGGGACCCTCCGTGACCACACCGTCGTCCTTTTTTCCCCCCCGCTGGCTCCTCGCCACAGCCCGGAGGTGACGCCATGCTTCGGAGCGTGCAAACTAACTAGGTCAGCACGACACGGCCACTAAATATTTCATAGCCCTTCCAGCTCTGACCTTTTAATGCAACGAGCTCCCAGCTCCGTTTAACGCAAACAAAGGAACGCGCTGAGGACAACACACCACAGTTTTACCCTCCGCAGCTGAGGGCGATGGCTGAGAGGTGCTGGGATCAGCCCCGGGAACTCCCCACCGCTGCCAGGAAGGTTTATTCGAATTAATTTGCTCCTGGGGAGACGCAGCTGCTAATTGCATCCCCAGCGCTGGAGGCAGGGGAAGGGCACAGGATGCACCCGGGTTCGGTTGGGCAGCGACGGGCACGGTCACCGGTGGCACGATGGGGCAGGAAACCATCCCACAAGACACCGAGAAATGCAGGTGAAAACGGATCATGTCCAGATGGAGCTTCACCGAGTGACCTGAGAGCAAAACCCAACATGTTTTGCCCCAACCTCGGGCTCTGCTGGGGCTGCCCAGCAAAAAAAACCCAACAAAACACAGCCTTCCCCAAGCCTGCTTTCTTATTTCTCATGTATATCCTTCATGGGCATTACTATTGAAGTGAAAAGCCAGTTCTTGCTCAAACTGCTACAACAGCCATCTCGTCGGGCACGGTCACCGGTGGCACGATGGGGCAGGAAACCATCCCACAAGACACCGAGAAATGCAGGTGAAAACGGATCATGTCCAGATGGAGCTTCACCGAGAGACCTGAGAGCGAAACCCAACATGTTTTGCCCCAACCTCGGGCTCTGCTGGGGCTGCCCAGCAAAAAAAACCCAACAAAACACAGTCTTCCCCAAGCCTGGCATCTCAGAGATTCCCCCAAGACATTAAAAGCTCCATCCTTGGAGCCTGCAGTCGCCAGGAAAAGCAAGACTCAAGGGAGAGCGGCCCCTGACCGAGGGCTAAGAGTATGCAAGCCCCAATGCCAGGGAAATCATTAGAGAAGCCATATCCTTCATTTAAATTAAAAAAAAAAGTTTTTCTGATGCCGAGAGTAAAAAACAGCTTTGGATCAAAACATTAGTCTTCCACCAAATTGAACTTTCCACAGGGACAGAGGGGAAGGTTTAATAAAACGTTGCTTTTCACTAAAAACATCTTAATATCCAAAATCAGCATCGACACTCAGCAGTTGTTTCCATTGGGCACCCACTAGGAGAAAAAAAAAATTAAAAAATCGCATCACGAGAAGTTGTGAAGAAGAAAAATCTCACATTCTTTAAGTTTTCCCAAGGGAAAAAGAAAAATAAAGAAATGGTTCTGCCCTCCTTTTACCAGCAAGGAGGGCTCAGCCCCAGCGAGAGGACGGGGTGCTGTGTGTCTCATCCGGCACGGGAGTATCACATGGATACAGCAGGGATGCAGCTCCTGTGATGAGCAGCCAAGATTTGGGATGGAAAAACCCAAAAGCGAGACATGAAAAGGGGCAGGGAAAGGCCGCAACGTGGGCACCTCGACAGGGCACAGAGCTCTGCCTCGCGCTACCACCCAGCGACCCTCCCGCGAGCTAATGGGATGCAAAGCCCAGCCTTATGGGTTATTATATTAAACACACGAGCAGACATCGCTCCCCCAAACGGCTCAGATTATCTCGCTTTCCCCTTATTTTCATATTTGCATGAGCGTGACATTATTAACACTCCGTCTAGAGCAGAAATCCAGGCGGCAGCTGTTAAATTCCAGGCGGGCAGACCTTTTAACAGCACAAGTTAATATGCAGTCACTCGAATTTCCAGCAACCAGACGAGCGATCTCCTCGGCAAAGCAGATTTGATGGGTTTTTGTCAAATTTCATTAGGCTTTCAGGAGGACAAAGTGGAGTCTGGTTGCTAGGGATAGTTTCTGCCCAAGAAATTTGGGTTAAAAATCAGGAGCTGCCGCAGTGGCCATGGCAAGGGATGTCCCATGCCCAGGGCACCCAAAAGAGGAAAAGGAGCCAGATAAAGGAAATAAAAAGAAATAAATTTAAAAGATAAATAAACCAGGGTTTCATGCCACAGCTTCCCATTTAGCCGCTCATAGGGAGACCTTGCCAGCAGCTGAGCATTAAGCCGTGGTGAATCCTAATCGCTGGATCCCCGACCTCTGGCTGGGGGAAGCTCAGTGACCCAGATACGGTCCCTTCGGTGACAGCGTGACCCACCGGGCTCTGGTGGCTCCAGTGTTTTCTACGGCGCTGGGCTGGAAGGAGCAAACCCTTCCAGCGACCTCAACCCTTCAAAGCCCTCCCTTTGCCGGAGCAATTAGGAGCGCTTGAAAAGAAGAAAGTTCTCAGTATTATGGCTGGGGCAGAAAGGACAATGATTTTTTTAAAGTCGGTTTAAAGTTATTTGGCTGCTTGGCTGAGGAAGACGCCTTTCCCTGGGCATGGCTGGAACAGCAGCGAGGGCAGAGCCCAGGAGGGACGGACACACAGCCCTGGGAAGGGGAGCACCATCCCCAGGAGGAGCAAAGCCTCTTTATTCTTAGAAGCATCCCTCTTAAGCACTCTAAGTCATCAGAGCATCATCATCGCGAGCAGCGTGAGCTCACGAGCAAATCTGACATCGGAGTCCAGCCCAGTGAACCTCTTGGCCACCATCAGGCTTGAATGATGGGAGGTGCAACCACTCCAGACCCTCCGAGCACCACAAGCTTCAGTCTTGCACCAGCAGGACCCTGCGTTCGCTTCCCGGCTGACCATCAGGAAGCTCAGATAAACCCTTTTAATACATGAATTTCATCAAACCTGCTTTTCAGCAGGTGGAAACACAAACCCGGGACATTCCCAAACCCTCGCGTTTCTCCTGAAGCCCTACGAACTCGGCAAAAAAACCTTCATCCATCTCCAACTGACAGCACACGGAAAAGCTGACAGAAACGACAGCAGTGTCCAGCCGGGTGAGAAACCTCCCCGAGGAAGGAGCACCCACCACCCGTCCCCACCCAGCAGCTCCCCCGAGATGCTCCCTGATCCCTTATTAGCTTTTAGAGGAGGATCAGGGAAGGGCTGCCTGAGCCGCAGGGGATTTACAGGGTTCCCCAGGAAATCCTTGAGTACACACAAGTCTCCAGAGGCTGAGATTAAGAGTAAATACATTTACTGCCGTCTTTTTAAAGGTCTCTCCTACTTGAGAGCCGGAGAGGAGGAAATTGCGCAGATTTCCCTGACCTGGGGCACATCCCTGGCTGATTTTGGCACGAGGAAAGGTCGCTGCAGGTTAACTGATCCTCATCAGCAACTAAGCCAAGCACAAGAGGGAGAGAAAGTCAGACAAACCCTTGGCGGGCACCCAGAAAACCCCTCATGCAGGCTGCACGTCTCCCCAAGGATGTCTTGTCCCCAGCTGAGAGGAGGAGGAGGAGGCAAGAAGAGGGCTCCAGGCAAACCCATGAGTTCCCAGCAAGGACCATCCCCTGGGAGGGATGGGGCACCCCAAGGACCTGCCTGGCAGCTGGTCCAGGGATTCTCAGTCATAAAAATCCATGGGGAAAAAATAAAAATCATAATAAAAAAATAATCCATGCATGTAATTGATAAAATTGTTCACGGAAGCATCAAGTCCAGGCACTGGGAATGTCTGAAAGTGCTTCTGGGTGCCGCATGGAGTCACCTGGTTGTGGTGAACGCTCTTGCCAAGCTTCCTGCCCGCCCCGGGGAAAACGCTCAGCCAAGGGCCAGCTTTCTAGTAAAAAAAAATAAATTCTAAAAGCTCCGCTCATGTTTTGGAGAGAAGAAGCTGTTCGGCCAGATGTGCACCTCCAGGAAAAGAACACCACCAGTGAGAGCTGCCGCCCCTTTTTCCCCAGCCTGGAACACCTGGGAAAAATCAACACCCCGAGGGTGTTGGAGATGTGCTCCAGGCTAAAATGGGGTTTGTATATTCTTTAAACCAGCAGCAGAAAGAGGCAGCTCCACACACATCCCTTGAGCAAGCCTCTGTGCCTCAGTTTCCCCATGAGCACCAATGCCTCGTTCAGGGATCAACAGTCCCACATTTACCTGGTTACTTGCCATAAAAAAAAAACCACACAACAAACCCAACATCAATTTACAGCCAACTTAGCAACTCTTCTTTTTGTTGTTATGCAACCAAACCCTGAGAGTCGTAGAGCAGGAAAAGCAACGGGCGTTGCTCAACGCCAGGATGAGGATTTAAATATCAACGGCTCCTCTCATGTGGCCAGAAATACTGTTAAATTAAATATAAATACTCTTGGGGGCCATAAGCACCCCATCCTCTGCTGCCTGTCCTTGAGGCAACCATCAGATGAGCTCCTCCGGCCATGCTGGACCCACAGAGCCTTAAACCCCCCGATCCTGGTGTAAAATCAGCCAATTTTCTGTGCGACGCACACAGCAGCCTCCAAGAAACAATCCCTCTTCAAGCCCCCGAAGTCTTGCTGCAGAAGCACTTTTCTGCACCATAAAAGCAGTGGCCAGGCTTGAGCTCGTTAATTAAGAAGACAAAAGCCTATATAATGTGCCCATTAAATTGGGTTATAAGCACTAAAAAGAAATCCGTGTTTATGGTAAAAAAAAAAAAACAAACCACTTAACCACTTTTCCCCAGCCAGGATTGGGGTTTGTCTCGATTTTAACCGGCAGAGGGGGCAGGAAGGGCTGCTCTTGCTTCCCCACGCTTTGCTGCGAATAAAGTGGAGTTAAGGAGGGCAAAAATGCCAATTTTTCTCCCCTCCCAAGCTCCTGTTGGCCCAAGGAGCCACATTCTCCAGCTTTGTTCCCTCCTCTGATCCACCACCCGACCCCAGGGTGGCGTTACGACTTCCCACTGACAATTTTTGACTGAGCCAGGTGCTTCAAACCAGCCAGATCCTGGGTCTGAGCTCCCACTCTCTCCTTGATAAACACAGGGAGTTCAGATTGTGCTCCCACGTGGAGCAGTAATGCTGAAGTGGCAGCTTTTTTTCTAAGCTTCAGGTCCTTTTTTTTCTTTTTTCTTTTTTTTTTTTGCTAACTCTAGGTTAAAGCAAATGTCTCCTGCAGGCTGCAATCAGGCAGGGAAAAACAGAGAACAAAAAAGCAGCACGGACCAAGGTAGAAAAGCTCCAAAGACATGAAAATCAGTTTGCAGCACAGAGAAAACTCTACATTTTTTTTCTGGAGGTGTTCAAAAAATACAGAGATGGGGCATTCCGGGGACACAGTTTAGTAGTGGCATTGCAACCCCCAACATTCTGTGATGCTTAGACTCGATCTTAGAGGACTTTTCCAACTTTAATTCCCAGATTCACGCACAACCAGCCACAGCTGTAACGAGCAACAACCTTGAACTTCTTCCGACGTATAAGCAGAGACTCCCCCTTCCACTCCCCATCCCTTCCTTCGGGTAGAAAACATTGTCTGGCTGCAGAAAACAACCTCCTCTCAACCCCTGCCCAAACCAGAACCTCTCCCTTCCCAGAGGGAACCCCCACAGCGTCCCCCAGTAAGCCCCAGTGTACCCACCTCCTCCTCACCCCCAGCCTGGTTTATATGACGCCAATTAAATCAGGCACAGCTGAAATCAAGCCACGTTGGGCTGGAGCTTGGTTTTTCCCAGCTGTTTCACCCAGCCCAGGGCTGGCAAAACCTTGACATCTGCCCAAGGCACACGGGCTCTCCAAGCTCCCTTGGTGCTGGTTGTTGCAGGTGAGTGTAGTACAGATAAACCTGTTTGGTTTTTTATTTTATTTTGATAATTGCTGCCCAAAGCCAACCTGAGACTGGGAGGGAGAGCAGCTCTCAGCTGCAGACGTTGCCAGCACAATTTGGAAAAGCACCAGGACGTTTTTCCCTTCCCCGGCTGGTGCATTCTCGGGTTCCTCAAGCATTTACAGAAGGTTCAAGTATTCTGGAGATTAAACTGAAGCCAAGAGTTTAAGGGTAGAAAGCTCCAGAGAGGGGGAGAGCAGGTTTCCCATCCCAGCTCTGGGGTCACACCTGGAGGCGAGAGCAGTGGTTTTCCTTACAGAGGAACAGAAATGCTTCAGTGCTGCCCATAAAACCCTGAAAATGCCACAAAACCTGTCCTGGGAGGGATCGAAAGCCCAGAAGAGGTGAAGGATCCTCCACAGGTGCTGCTGGATTCCAGTCAAGGGACGTGCAGCACTGGGGAAAACACGGGGCTGTAAGATGTTTGATCCCAGATTCTCCCAATTAACTACTTCCTCTGCTAAAAAAACCCCGGCCACGCCATTCCGGCTGTTTGGGGGCTATTTGCACAGTTG